TAGGACTACATATTTCTTTCTTTCCTTCTCATGTTGTTTTGGATGGCCAAAAGTGTGTGTGTGGGGTGGGGAGGGTGTTGTCATCAAGACAAGATTTAATTCGTAGCTAATCTTTTTTGCTTTTCTTAGGATTTTTTTTGCAAGGCACAAATTAAAATAGGCTTGTACTATGCAGGGTTAGCTTTATTAGAAAAGATCACATCCCTATTTAAGAAAGACCTTTCCTCCCTCTTCTGGGCTTCCAGACCTTTGAATATGTAGGTGGAAGAGTAGGAACTTGGGAATGTGAATTTGATCCAGCATTGACCAGCCAGGCAGCAAACTCTTATTGTTCTGGAGATACCAAACATACTTCCCTTCTACTAGGGGCAAATCCAACCATTCTGTGCATAACTTAGCTTTTATGCTCAGCAGTGTGATTAACGGGAAAAAGACAAGACACAAAGAATATTTCAGCTTTGTTATAGCTCTGCAAACAATTTCTTATGAGCTATTTTCATGGATTCTTTCCTATTTTCATATTTCAGGTCCTTGTATACTGTATAAAGCTGCTTCCACTATCAATATTGTGTAACTATTCCTGAGTTTCTAAGGAACCCCCAACTTTTTAAAACTAGATTTTTGGCTATATGGTGCTAGTTTTAAAACTCTCTGTATAAATTCACATTAAACGCTCATTCATTAACCTACAGTATGTCTGGAAATGCCAACATTAGTTACAGGTCAGTGATACATCAAGCTTCAGAATTACGGTAACTTTCTCTTGAGAACAACTATCAACACCAGACCTGATAGGAGTTGAATAGGCAAACTGTAAAGCTTCAATGGAGCAGAAAAAAATTGGAAGTAGTTTCCAAATGAGGGGTTGTAACATATTCTTGCTAGGTGAAAGAGCTGTACCACCAATTTTTAAACACTGTACCTGACCTGCAGAAATAGAGGCATCTCCTTAAACTTGCATTACTTTCACTTTCCTCATTAAGGTATATTCTTCATCAAGATAAATGATATTAAAATAGGAGCAAAAGAAACAGAAGAAATATAAATAATCTAGAAAGATCGGTACTACTCTACAGCTGACAATCACTTTCAGAAATAAAGTCTGAATTTGTTTATGCTAGAGGATGAAGTAAAGAAAATAAATGCTGGGAACAAATCCAAATACTAAAAATGCCCCCCTATAAATATCAAGCATTCATCAGTAAACTTATAAATAAATAAATAGATTTTTTTATTTATGAATACATTCTCTAAAATCTGTAAGGTTGGTTTATAATAGCGTAATTAGAAAATAATAATATGTAGCCTATTGTCTCCAATTACGGCTGAAGTCAATTTTCCCAATCATACTGAAACGTTCCAAAGCCAGCCTAAACCAAATTAGACATTTGCTGTGAAGATTGGTAATCAGTTACTACAGCTTACTGTATAGATAATGAAAGCACAAAACTTTTTGTGAATATCTCTTAGGAAAAACATTTTGTTATTATATCTGGATGGATGCCATTTGCTTGTTTTTCATTTATTTCAAATGTAATTGAACATGGAGCTGAAAAATCTCAGTCTAACTAGCAGAGTTCACTGAGAGTGAATAATCTGGAAATGCATTTTCATTTAAACACTGTAGCTATGATAAAAAAAATGTTTAAATGTGAAGTTTACTTAACCTGATTTTGTTATATTTTATAATAATAGTGCTAATCACTTTGAAAGTAACTACTGACATTTTGGCATGATGACCAAAAATATTCTAAATAGGAAACTTTATTTATCAAAGATAAGAATCAATAAAAAGTCAAAAAAATAGAAGATTGAAATTTAAGAAGATTTAAATCAAGTCCTGCCAAGCATCTGGATCATCTGAAAATGTTTCTGCAAAGTAAAAATTCACAAACAATATTTAACTTGTTCTGGGAAAGGGGCATGTTCCTGACTGCTTCGATTTTCCTAAGAGATATTCACAAATATCTGGATACCCCAAAGCGCTTTATTTTTTGGAGCTCTATTACTATAGTTCAAGAAGGAAAAGAAAATGTTTTATGATTGGCCCTAAATGGATTGGATTAACTGAACAAATATCTCTCTTTACTATATTTATTCAAGGTTATATTCCAGGACATTCTCCAAGTGATCTCTAACCTTCAAATAAGACAGAATGAAAGTCTTAGATTACCTCCCTTTCATTATTTAAATTACTATTGTTGTATTCTTACAAAAGGACTTGAGAGTAAGTTGCAATTTCAATTTCTTTATTATATGACACATCTCACTTCTCTATTTTGCTTCCCTTCCCACCAGAGGTGGTATTCAGCAGGTTCTGACCAGTTCTGGAGAACCGGTAGTGGAAATTTTGAGTAGTTCGGAGAACCGCTAAATACCACTTCCGACTGGCCCTGCCCCCATCTATTTTCTGCCTCCAAGTCCCAGCTGAGCTGGAGGGAATGGGGATTTTGCAATAACCTTCCCCTGGAGTGGGGAGGTAATAGAGATTTTACAGTATCCTTCCCCTACCACACCCACTAAGCCACACCCAGAGAACCTGTAGTAAAAAAAAATGAATCCCACCACTGCTTCCCACTCTTCTCTAAGATCTCCTTCTGCCTGTTTGCTGCAATTTTTCTTCAGAGTTGTATTAATACACTACAACTATTCTGCTATGAGAGAGAGGGGGGGGGGCAGGCAACAAAAGCTGATGTTAGAGCATTTTAAGATGGCTAATTAAGAAAGTAAATCTGAAGCTAATCAGATTTAAATTTTTCAACTTGGATCAATAGCAAGTAATGTGAAGGGGATTAATGTTGCGAAGAAGTGACATATTTAAACTACAAGGGTCTTCGCTGCTGCTTTTCTGTATATTTCATTACAAAAATATTTATTTATTTGTAAAATTTAGAATTGCAACCCATCTTACCTCAGGTAACTCTGGCATTATTGCACTGGAGGTTATAGATAGATTCAGAAAAAAAATTGGAAGAGGCCAAAGTTATGAAGAAGAAGAAGAAGAAGATGATGATGATGAAGAAGAAGAAGAAGAAGAAGAGGAGGAGGAGGAGGAGGAGGAGAAGAAGGAGAAGGTGGCATTTTGGATCATGGGTATAATAACAAGGGAAGGTAGGAAACAATGGAGCTCAACATATGCTTATAGGAAAGGAACAAGCAAAAACACTCTGTACTGGTACGTTATAAAACTACAGCAAATGCAGGCAAAAGAATAGACCAACCAAAATATTTGATTTAGTGAAGTGTACAAATTATTATAGAATATGATTGATTATTACTTGTTTAAATAACTGTGTTATGTGTTCGATATGTTAAGTAAGCCCAGAGTTTGTGCATAGTTTTACCTTATTCATTATCTTGGGTGGGGTTATACTAAACAGATGACTAAAGAAAAATGTATCTTGACCATGGAAAGCTTTGTTCAACAATAGAGAATTATAGTTCAAACAAATCATAGATGTCATCGGTCTTGAAATGTTTAAAAATAGACAGGAACAATAGCGAAAATTTGGATGCCTATTTTTACACAAAGATAGACATCGGCACATTATTACTTAGTAATTTCTTAATAGGTTCTTTCGTTGTCTAAAATCAGCTGTTTCTAAAGTCGTAGTGTCATTTAAACTCAGCCTGGAGTTGCTGACGTTAAATCATTATTAACTTAGTAGAAGGTGAAAAACTCTCCAGTCCTGTGGTGAGTCACTTCTTAAGCTGCTGTACATCCTGAACTGATAAACAGCAAAATCAACAGCACGGGGCAATTGACCTCATTTAACCCAGACTCAACAAGTTTCAAGAAAATGCTCTCCTACAATCTTTTGTCTCTACACAAATGTCCTTTTTTCAGAATACATATATAATGAAACACACTGGAAACATTTAACTACGTTCCAGTCAAAAGCTATGGGGTTGTAGCTATGGGGAGGGCACATTCTTTTATAAAGCCCAATTTCCTGAAAAACCCTTCACAAGGAATTTGAAGAATATTTCATGGCCTCTCCTATCCTGACAGTTTTGAGCACAACAGTGTTGTATTCCATTTATCTGAACTGCTCTGAGTGGGCATGACAGGAAAATAACTGAAATGGATAGATAAAAACATTTGCTCCTTCAGATTTATAAGATAGGGAATGGAAAACTGGTTCTATGACTCACTGCTGGATTAATCTATACTTGGTTTCTGCCAATTTTGCCTGGGCTAGCCAAATAGACTGGCCATTACAGAGATTGAAGGTCAACATTCCAGGGAGATCAAATTTTGGATGTCTGGAGAATATGTATGCAATCTGCAGAAGGATATCTGAAGGATAATGATGTGTTTTTAAATGTACTTGTTGTCTCTAGCATTTCCAGACAACTGGACACAGCAATTAAATATTTGAATCATAGACAGAATGTGCAATTGCTATATATGTTACTGGGAGGATGGTTTCTTTACTGCCACTGTTTATCCTGGATTGATATCATTTTGTATTCCTCTGTGAAGGATATCACTCCTTTAGAAATTAAATAAATATTTAATTTTCCCTCTTTTCTTTTTCAGAAAACATTCTGTTCCTAGCATAACTGCAACAGGTGTGAAACATTATAAATCAGTCCAACTCAACATTAAAAGGTTGATAAATAAAAGTAATTTAAGGCAGTGTTTTTCTTCATCCACAATAATGCAAGAAACAAACTTCCATTTAAAAAATGTGAAGTGTCAGTAAAATTCCTTAATAATACAATTTCCAATGAACAGTATCCTTTGTAATAAAGTAAGGTTTAAGAGATTTTTTTCCCCTTTGGTAACATCTCTTTGAGGGAAATAGGAAATGGAACCTGCAATTGATAAAAGTTGATTCTCATATGTGTATTTTATAAAAACATAAACTGGATATCATTAAAACTTAGATTTTATTCATGCCGTACAGTATCTATTATAGAAGGAAAAATAATTTGAACAACATGTTCAGCAGATTCATTCACAGGATTCTATTAAAAAATACATTTCCATTTACCTTAGGTATTCCTGAGCAGTCAAGCCACTTCTGGAAAATGTTTTCAATCGTCAGACCATACCTTCCAAAGAAATTAAAAAAAAAAAAATCATAAAGATTTTCTCTCTCTCTCTTTCTCTCTCTCTCTCTCTCTCTCTCTCTCTCTCTCTCTCTCTCTCTCTGTGTGTGTGTGTGTGTGTGTGTGTGTGTGTGTGCAATCCTTGGATTATGACCATTTGTCCAGCAGCTATTCAAAATTATGACAGCACTAAATGAAAGGTACTTACAATGGGTCCTTGTAATTTGGTCTGTTGCAATACTCCACAGACAAATCATTGTGATTGCTGACAATCCAGCCAGAATCCCACAAAACAAGTCAATGGAAAAGCCAGGAGAAAGTTAAAAGTTATGTGAGGTCCTCTTTTAACAACCTATGTGGTCCTTGCTTAACAACAGATGTCAGAATTTTTGTTGCTTAGCAAATTGGTCACTTGATGTCACTTAGTATGACCATGTCATGCTCTGTTGCTTAGCGATAGTAAATCCAGCCCCAGTTGCCATCATAACCTAAGAAGTGGAGTGTGTCTCTGTGTGTGAGACACACATCTATCTTCCCTTACACACAGACACACACGATAAAAAACAGATTAGTTGCATTTACTCTTAAGAACTTATTAATTTTTACATGTTTGTAATTTCATCATACTTTCCTACTGAAGCAGATATTGAATGGAAAATTCCAGTTATTTAAAATTCCCTAATACGAATTTTCATATGCTGCTCCTACATACATTCATATATGTTCATCTATAAATACATTACTATATATAAATTGGCATTCTTTCTTTCTGAGTTCAAAGAGAGCACCAAAGGCATAGCTGTTCTTCTAACACTGGAGGAGAACAAGCTGTAATTGAAGAGGTGAACCGAGCATGATTTCCTACATTTTCTCTATAATTTTAATATGTATTTCGGGGTGGGTTTCTGCCAGTTCTAACCACTTCTATAGAAGAGGTACCACAAATCTACAGTGCCGTTTAGAACCGGTTCAAGCTCCCTCCCCCCGCCCATCCGCACATCATCAGATGAAGAGCGAGAGGAGGAATTCTGGGAGTTGAAGTCCACAAGTCTTAAAGCTGTCAAGTTTGAACACCCCTGGGTTTTTTTCTTAAAGGGTTAGGGGTGCAAGGGTCTTGTAACTTGACGGCTTTAAGACTTGGTGCTTCAAATGCCAGAGTTTCTGAGTCAATATTTTGGTTGCTAAGCAAGAGTGTTGTTAAGTGAGTTTCACCACATTTTACAAGTTGGCCACGCCCACCCAATCACATGGCTGATAAGCCACTCCCACCCAGTCACATGGCTGGCAAGCCACTCCCATCCGGGCACATGGCCAGCAAGCCACTCCCACAAAGCAGTCCACAACTACAGAAGAGGTTCTAAAAAATTTTGAAACCCACCACTGATATATTTGCTTTATTAAAAATAGCTTTATTGATTGTTTTTGAAGGATTCTTTTTTTTAAAATGATATTTGGTTTTTGTCAGCCACTCAGAACTTTTAGGACTGGGCAGTATACAAATAAAATGAAATAAAATGAAACAAGACAAAACTTTACATAATTATAGGGACCAAGACAAAGCAGTGAACCTACAAAAATAAAAATATAAAGCAATTCAACCGTATATCTTTTTAAAATATGGTTCAGCAGACCAAGCACCTTAAACTCCCCATAAATTTTAGTTTAGATAATGGCAAGCTAAAATCAAAAGGCATTTGGTGAATGTCAAACTTAACAATAAAAGCAGTACTCAGTGGGATCTGATCCCTGCCTCTTTCAGTCCAGCAGTCTGTTCTCAACAACCAACTGCACAAGGAATCCACTTGTTAACTAGCAAATACACCGCCATCAAAACTAATAGCCATTGATTCCCATGACTGCGATGAGTTGATCCAAATCCCCTCCCTTTTATTTTTAAGACAAAGCAGGTGGGCTCTAAAATTTGTTTACAAATTCAGCATTTTCCCACACACTTATTTTTTCCATTAGTCTGATGCAACAAGAGGACAATACTTTGGAGAAATAGTTAAACTTTCGTAAAATTTTGCCAGCAAAGCATCATTCTTTACGAAATAATCTAATCTACTAACCTGACTCTGCATACTTAGATAGGATATGTCATTGTAATTGGTTGAAAATTATCAAAATAGATTTAAGCAATATTTAATCATTTAGTAATGTGATAGGATGATATATCATTGCACTCACCCTAATCTATATGCTAATAAAACTACTGTATTATGTTTGTTTGTTCGTACCCTTCAATTGGGTAAAACAGAGCATTTAGGACAATATAATTTTTTTAGCCAATAAACTTGAAATGGGCTACAGAATGCATTCAAAATCCAGGACCCATAAATCCTGTGGGATTGAAATTTGTCAAAGTTATGCCACAGTACTACTACAGCCAGCCGCAGTCAATGGTCACCATTTTCAGAACTCTCTGCCAACTTCCTATAAGAGAAATCAATGGGGAAGCTGGCAGGTATTTACTCCTGTTCCCACTGCTTTTTTGCCCACTTAGGTCATTTTGTTTCTTTGTTTAGACAAAGAAATAACTCTGAGATGATGACCCAATGGGTCATGGGCTGCCTAATATACTTTAAAGCCCAAAACAGAACTGCATACACTACATAGATAATACAGGCTTCTATTTCCATCTTGAAAGATAATAAGTACAGTATTTCCACTGTAAACAGAATTCAACATTTGTTCATTTAGCGATGAATTATTACCGGTATATAAGAATTATTATATAATTATTATATAAATGAAAGTACATGACAACAGAGGTGTATACAGATAGTCCTCAACCTCTGACCATAGTGGACCCCAAATTTCTGATCCTCAGTAAAACTATTGTTAAATGAATTTTGCTCCATTTTATTATCTTTCTTGCCATAGTTGTTAAGTGAATCTGGCTTCCCCATTGACTCTGCTTGTTAGAAGGTTGCAAAAGGTGAACACACGATCATGGGACACTGCAACAGTCATAAATATAAGCCAGTTACCAAGTGTCTGAATTTTGATCATGGGGATGCTGCAGTGGTCGTAAGTGTGAAAAACAAGTCACTTTTTTGCCTTTCTAGCTTTGAACAGTCACTAAATGAATGATTGTAAGTCAAGAATTATCTGTAATCTGAACCACTGACCTAACCATTTCCAAAAGATGCATTTTTTAAATGTAACAACAAGAAAATGTAATTCATGGAGAATAATCCTACTGATCAGATGTAAGTAACTACCTTTAATTTAATTTATATTTTTCATTCAAATACATTGCATTTTGTTTTAGTCCTGGTCTTGCTCATTCTTTCTCTGGGCCTATCCTCTTTATCAGAATGTAGCAGCCATTACTGAAAGCCAAATGCTGCTCCTAGGAGCAATATCCTGCACCATTAATACAGAGCATTGCCCAAATTTATGCTGAGATCCAGGAATTAAGGTATTTCAATAAAATTAGTAGGATAACAACTACATAATTTATAAAGTAGGATCGCTTCATTACTTTGTTATGGAATGAGTGTTATGTTACTGCTATTCATAGCAAATTTTGGACTAGCTCCCTCTGAGCTAGTTTCACAGCATATCGATTTTTAAGGCTATTGTACACAACAGGCATATAACTTGAAAACTGTCTTTTAAAATCAGGATCAAAACAATGGCACTTAGAAATTTAGGCTCAAGTCTGATATGTTTATTATGGAAAGCAGATGTGATTATGAATCAAATGCTATCTCATGCCATTAAAATTGTGCTGCTTAAAAGGTTCACAGCAACCCCCAACCCTAAGCTAATACACTGTAAAAATTGCATAGAAATACATTGTTTTTAAATCCAATAGAAAGTTGAGGAACTAATATTATCTGTTGTCTATTTGATTTCTTTTTCATCATGTTTCAGGCCGTTCTATTCATTTTGGTTGCCATTTCTCATTGTCTCATCCATTTGGGTGATCTTCAGTTACATTCACTTTTCCAAGTCTGCCCTGATTAAATTGGAGAATTAGTCTGCCTTCTGAGACCGCAGCCTTGGAATTTTCCATTCAGATGAAATGGTCCTTTCTGGTATTGTACAACTTCCTTAAAGTAACATTTCATTTGGACTGGACGAAGAATACAAATTTTCTCAGTAATTTAAATAAGGGCTGACATTCTCTAAACATTACCAATTCCCCTTTCTCTGTTTCCCAGATTGTAACTTTTACAGCCTCCTTGTGTTCAGCTGTGCAGCATTTGACCACTTACTTAAGGCATATTAACTCTCAGAAAGATCGGACAAATGGCCATTTAAAAATTAACCAGACCCCATCGTCTCAGATCTCCATTGTTTCAGATTTAGACTGGATAGTTTTCATGTGATTACTTTTAAAACCTTTTAACCCTACATTATTATGTCCTGAAGGTTTATATTTACCTGCATAACAAATATAAGCCAATGCCTTTATCAGTTCCAAGAATCTGTAGGGTTAGGGACAACAGTTTAATTTATTTCTTCCTTTAATTTTTTTATTTGAAAAAAACCAATTTGATCTTTTTAGGAATAATAGAAAAATATTTGTTACACAATATTTTCAAACTCTAGATATATAAATCAATATTAGAATATTCATGTCAAATAAAGACATACAATTTATGTGTTTCCACATTAAAGGTTCTCACAATATAAAAGTATTATTGTGGACTAGACGTTACACTAGTACAAAATAAAAAACTATTGCTGGGAAACACAATGTTAAACTACGTATTTTGGGAAAAAAAGTTTGGCAAAAGTTCATATTTCTACTGTGAAATGTTTCAAAATGCTCACAAATGACTGCTTAAAATAAGAATTGGGAATGGCTGGCATAAAAAAACACATTTCAAAGCTATAATGTTAGAGCAAGTGAATAGATATGTTGGTCGAATCCCAAAAATGTTGCTTATGCTTGCATAAGGAGCATTTTGTGTTTCATTTAATCAAGAGACACCTCCATCATAACTTAAAATGCTTATAAGGTATCATTTGATATCAAAAGAAAACTCTTGTGTGATAAAACAAGTATTTTTATGATGAGGAGAAGTAATAGAACAACGTCTAAACTTCTTTCAGGTCAAAGAAATATTAACACATTTCATTTTACAAATACAAAGCTCAATTCTTTTCTTAACTTTGTGTTAAGAATTAAAACTTATACTGTAATTAGTGGGAAAAACATAATTGCCAGACATTAAGTATAGATGAGAGCATACTTTATATAAATATGATCTATTATTTTTGGCACCATATTTTATCTTCTCATTATTCATAATTCTGGCAGCATACTATATGTCTGGCCATAAAATAAATAGAACTGAAATCTTGCCTTTCTTTCTGAAGGAAAAAGAAATCCACTACTTTTACTGGAAATTAAAATATTCTTGGCGTATTCTGAAGCAGCCATAAACCTCCTAGTTTTAGTAAAATTTTAATTGATAAAATTTAGAAAAGAGAAAGAGTGTTAAGTTTATACAGAGATTCTAAGTACAACTGACTGAAACAAATTATTTTCACCAAGAAAACAGATACCATAATTGAGCACAATGTGTTTACACACTGCAATTTACTATACAAAAACCAAGCCATAAAAATTTTCTTTTATACAAAGTAAATGGCAAAGCTTTGCAACTAAAGAAAGAAAAATCAGAGGGCAGACATTGAAAACAAAGCAAGGTCAAAAAAAATTGGGAACTATCCCAAGTGCTAGTTAGGAAAAAAAATATATGTGGAAGCCCAATAGGTTCCAGGAAATTCTTTTGTCAAGAATATTAATGACCTTCAACCAAAATATTTTACCAGGTAAGCAGAGCAGTCTTGACAAAGGAATTCTTTTTGTAATGCATGGTGCTTTCAAAGGGGTTTTTTCGTACTGGAACTTAGGACACTCTTCTCTTTTTAAGTTTTTGGAAATGAAAAGATAGAGCTGATCACAAAACAATCTACTTGTGTATGCCAGTGAGATCATTTATTTCAGCTGAATTTAGAACTGTTTTTGAATTCAAAAACATAAACTCTGATCCCATGGTGGGACCCGAAGCTCCTTTCTATGGTTTTCCATTCCATGTATTTTTCTTCTCTTATAATAAAAGATATAGCACCTTATAATTTAACAGATAGCTATGAAACACTCAAATTCAACACCATTCATAACTATGGTACTAACTTTTTAGTGTTTTAGGCATATAAGATTATCTTAAGATATTTGCTGCAGAGATGCAACTTTAATACATTCCTGGAAAATTTACACACAAGGTTTTCATAAATAAAATATCTGAATCAGGATGTTTAGACTTACATACCCTTTTAACTGGGGGAACTCTTCTAATAATAAATGAAGAAATTCCTGGATAAAAATAATAAAATACTGTTATTGTTAAAAACAAGCACTCATAGCAACATTTTATAACTATTCATTTGACATTGAGTATTCATAAAAGGTAAATGTGCTTATGAAATTCTAAGCCACATATAATAAAAGGATATAAAAAATGTCAAGTTTTAACATTATCTTCCTAAAATACAAGGGCAGTACATTATATTTTCATCATTTTCATAATCAATTTAATGTAATCACCAAATACTACAGTACACTGAATGGCAATAAAAGAGAAGATTAAATGTAAATAAAGCTACTCATATTTCCCTGAAAATAAGACTGGATCTTATATTAATTTTTGCTCCAAAAGACACATTAGGGCTTATTTTCCAGTTAGGGCATATTTTCAGGGGAAATGGTACTAAATGTTTTTATTTGGCTGACAAACTTAACTGGGGCTTATTTTGGGGTAGGGCTTATATTATGAGCATCCTGAAAAATCATGCTAGGGATTATCTTCTGGTTGGCTCTTATTTTTGGGAAATAAGAATATATGTTTGGCTACAATTTAATATGTTTCTCTGTTTATATATAAATTAAAGTTAGTTATATTTTTATATGTGACATTTAATTGCCTGCTTGTGATCTTTAGATATAAACTTGCATAGCACTTATCTGGTAATTTCAATACCATTCAAAGACAAGTGGGCAATAAATCCAACAATTGTGGAAAAAAATATCCCATTACAAAGTGTACACATGCTCAGATCAAGGCAATGGCGATTGAAAAAGGGAAGAAATGAGAAAAAGGGTGGAAAGAGTAGAATACCCTACAGAATATTTTTTTTTAAAAAAAAACCTTGCAGAACTACATTCCACAGGATAACACAAGACAATGGAAGATTCCATTGTCTTATGTAAGTTATATTTCAGAAGTTGAAGAGTTAATATTTTAACAAGAGAAAATAAGCTGGCTATTGAGATATTTAAATTGTGTAACCTGGGTACAAATGGCATACTTTTCGCTTTTATAATACAAAACACAGAGATGCAGTTGAGGATTCCATTATAACGGGATAGAGCTTCCCTGATTATTTTTATTATTAAGAAAAGCACGCTTCTGTCTGCACAGATCTTTGTATCTGTAGCCTAAATGTGTCTTTGGTTATGTAAAGATGTCACATTACTTTAGAGTGTAGTACAACATTTTCCAAGATGGATTATTATTCAACTGTATTATCATTAGTTTTAAATGTGTTGATCCATTTTGAAGTACATCAAACAGATATTGCTGACTGTTAAAGATATAAATAACGTAAATGTTTTATGTCTGTAAAATCAGTCTACACAACTGCACAAGATTGTTACATGAATACTCAATTCACATTTTTATGCCCAAGATACACTAGTATATTCAGGATTTTTTTTTTGACAGACTGTTGGAGAAACCAAAAACTAGAATACAATCAGAAGCTCTCCAAACTAATCACATAATTTAAAATGAAATATGAATGCAATTATATCATAGAGTATTTTTCCTGGTGCAATTTTTAATTATTGAAAAACATCTTTTTAAAAATCCAAGGGATATGGATATGGATATATGTATATGTGTATATATTTATGTAGGTCTCTAGTTATTCGGGTTTTCTCCCGTGTAAAATTGGAGATGTCTTGGCAACGTTTCGACGAAGTCTCATTTGTCATCTTCAGGCTTGGTGCTTCCAGGAGCAATGTGAGATCTCGGCTGTTTCTTCCATATATATATATATTATGTGGCTAGTTTCAGAATCCTAATATGTTTTGGGCTTATAAATATGTCTTCTGAAACACCATTATAAAAATCCGTGCTGCTAGATAAGTACTTTTATGAGCACACAAACTGGGTTTTTAAAGTATTAAAACATGATAAAACATGTATTTTAAACATGCTAGGTATGAATTAGCTAATATACACATTTAGTGGCTCAATGTTACATTTATTTCTTTATTTGACCAGATGTTATAATGAACATATTAAACTCAGCAAAGGTATTCATTTTTCATCACCAAACTAAACGTCAGCCTTAATTACACAAGTGGAATCAGCACTTCAAATTCATTTCTATTTATTTATAGTTACCAGACTCCATCTATTACACAAATTTCATCAAAAAAATATTATTCAGTGGATCTTCTAGTGGAAACCAGAATGAACTCATTTTTTTTTAAAAAAAAAACCTTCCTAAAGTTCCAGACTTACTTTCTACTCAACTAAAATAAACAAAACTACTATTAAAAATATAACTGAGCTTGCAGTCAAAATGAAGGGAGAAAAGCAAACTGATTAATGCTTCACATGTGAAGTCATTTCCTTGCACCTGTGGCTCAAATCTAGGAAAAATACTACAAATGCTGCTAGAAACAAGACTAGTATTCAGAATGTGACAATTCTTTATTCTTTAGTTATTATACTGTCGTCTTCATGCTCTTAACTGGTAGGAATCCAACCCGACGTTTTTAAACACTAAAACATTGCAATACTTTTATTTATTCATATTTGCTTTAAAATCGCACTCCTATTTAGATATGAATGTTGCTTGCAGAAGATTTCAGATAATTCTTCCTGCTTTGTAGTGCAAAGAAGTTCAGAGAGAAAATTAAACTGATCCCCTCCCCATCTTGGTTTCCTGGTTCCCTGAGTGGTAATTTTTGAGATAGTTAAAATACTCAACTATCTTAACTATCTAAATGTATTCAAATCTAATTGCCAGTCACTGAAAATCCTGACACAGATTCCTGCCGACTTATTTGTATAGACATAGTGCACTTTAACTGAAAAATAAAACAAAAACAAACTTGTCCATTTGAATGATGTAACTGTCCCACTCTTTGCAGTGCCTAGCTGCCAAAAATAGCATTATTAAAAGTGCTGCCGGGGTCCATAAAATGGTTACCTGCCCCTGATCTCATCTTGCAACAGAAGTGAACATTTCTCAGGGTGAATGAAAAACTTGCACTGTCTCCAGTGCACTGAGACAGATCCATTGCATGCGCACAAAAATCCTAAGTCTGTGTTAAACATAGCGTCTGAAAACACGTTGAATCAACGTACTTAACCTGCAACCTTTTGGGGTACAATTAGATGAGTGTTAGGATAAAATCTAGGAAAATATTGTTTTCCTCACTCTTAGGAGATTTTGTTCCATTGTTTGGTGTCACATGAACATGTGGGATCTGGGACTTCAAACCGTATGCGACAAGTCCAATTTCCTTATTAGGGAGAATGCCGAATTGCAGAATCTTGAGTAAGAAAATATTCTTACCACATCTAAATAACTATAAAGTAAATTATTTGATATTAGCTTAAAAATCTAATTTGTAAACATTTTCCTCTAGGATAAGAGCAAGAATGAAATGTTTCATATGGTGAGAGAGCAGCTGGGGAATTTATAAACCAGATTTCACAGCAGGCTGCTAGGCAAAAAGAAAATGACCAGCGGATTAGCATCTCCATTGTAACATGATCTTACTACAATGACTAATAGCCTTATGAGCTGAGATCCTCCAATGTTTTGCAATATTTATGTAATTTGCTAACCAAATTGATTTAATATCAGGCTAGCAGAGCTAAGTGAAACTAATTGAAATATCTTACCTCTTCAATACTGTTCACATAACAGAAATAATGCATGGTGTTAGCTGGTATATAGCAGTACTACGCTTTTCTCATTTGCAATTGAATATTATTTGGCAACGTATAAGCACATTTAACTTTCCAAGATGTACTGTTAAGAAAATATATTTATGGCTGAGGCATAAAATAAACTAAGCATTATTGTCACTATAATGTTGAACAAGCCATATTCAGAAACATTGTTGGGTAATTCCAGAGAAGGCTTTTATTATGCAATGATTGTAAGTTTCGAGTGATAATGTGTACTTTGATTTGTAGGTCTCCAATTCTTTTCTCTAGAGAAAGAAAAAATCTAGTAACAAGTAGAAGGATAAAATAACTGCATATAGTGGAAGTCTTGGTGTTCTATGAGCTTGGTTGTTTGCTGGTAGACATTTCATTATCCAACTAGATAATACCATCAATGCTAATAAGCATGGGGTTTGCTACCTGTTTATAGGGATAGTCCTTGACTTACTTTATTTAAGTCAAGGACTTAATTTAGTGACTTAATTCATTTAGTGACTGTTTGAAGATACAATGGTACGAAGTCAATGGGTTCACTTAACAATGTGTTATTAACTTAACAATTGCAGTGATTCATTTAAAAACAAATGGCAAGAAAGGTTGTAAAGTGGGGTATAGCTCACTTAATAAGTGCCTTGATTAGCTACAAAAAATTGGGGCTCAATTGTGGTCATAAGTCAAGGACTACCTGTACGCAGTTGCTTGTCCTACCAGCTTTGGTGGGGGTGTAGATTCCTCCTTGGTGGTTCCTTGATTAGGGTATTGTTTTCCATCTGATTGTCTGTCTGGCACTGATCCCTGCTTATCTAAATGTAGGATGCCAGAGCTATGTGTTTTAATCTTGTTTTCTTTCCTAAATTTTTGTTGTCTTTTTCAAATGGTGCTTAAATGTGGTTTACAGGTAGCCTCAGTTATTCACTGCCTTGTTTAGCAACTGCTAGAAATCACGATCATGTCAAAGAAAACAGCCCCTGCAATCAGTCCTTACATTTACAGCCGTTGGAGCATTTCATGGTAAGGTAATCGTAATTTCTGAGCTTCAGTGGCTTCCAACCAGCAGAATTAATTAAGAAAGTGGAAGTGAAAATGCAATTTGCAGTCATGTGATATGTCATTTAATGATCTCGGTGATCCATTTAACGAAAATGTGGAAGTGACATTGCAATTCCAGAATGGTTACATGACTTTTCTCTTAATGATTGTGGTGCTTAGCACTGGAATTGGTGATCCCAATTGGGTGTCAGTAAGTGAGGACTGCTTGTTATGTGTCTATTGGCTGATTTGTCCAAATGCCAGTATTTCTTTCTAGTATTCGTTAGTATTTTTGGATTTGGCTTGGTCCGCATACTGCTTTTGACAAGTAGTTACAATCCTTTCATTTGGTAGCTACATTTCTACATGTACACAACACTATCAAAATAGTTATTAGTTTGACTAGCCATAGTTTTAAGCTATATTATTTATTATATAAGAAAGGTTCAAACACACATCAAAGGGTCATCCTATTATGTCCTATTCCCAAACATCAAATTAAAGAAAATACCTTTTTGAAAATACTCTTGCCTTATATTTCTGATTGTTAAATTCTAATTTCAATCACTGTGTCTTTTAAAAAAAATGTGTTCATCTTCACAATTTCCCATTTATTGTTGCCCATTTTGGACCCATGCTTTAGCATCTCCATAACCATTCTATTTCAGTATCATAATATACTGTATATAACAGCAAGAATACGGGAGATACAAATTGAAATTCCAAAATTTATACCTTAGTCTATTTCCATGAATGGCATAAGAGATTAGTTAGCTATTATAAAAAGACCTTTCCAAATTTTGGCATATAATTTTAACATTTTATAAACTGAAGTCTCATGCTGCTCACCCTGCTCTCTTTGAATAATGCTATCTCTGAAGATCACATACATGCTATTTAATTTTTCTGATATGCCTTCAGCAAGAAAAAGTGCAGAAATACCTGAGAGAGTATTAGTTGTCCATGGAATGTTTGCACATATTTTCTTAAAAAAGCAAAATATGCAGCTTCTCCAATTTTTTCGGTGAAAGTCTGAAGCAAGAAATAACCCTAAAACAAACCAAGACAGGACAGTTCTCAGTTTCAGATCTGCTTTGAAGTTAGCAAATTACTAACAAAATGTCAGCATACAGTCATTATCTTACATGATATTTACCTGGATCTTATCTGGCCAATAAATTATGGCAATGGAAACTTACACCCTATCATTTCTGATTTCTTTATTTTTTTATTGTTTTGTGTTTTGGGCTGCTTATTGCTAACTGGTTAACAAAAATAATCAGTGAAATATTTCTAAATTATTCTTAGCAAGAGCAGTTAGATAATTATGCAGGTAAAAGAAAAAAGGTAAAGGTTCCCCACGCACATATACACACACATACACACACACAAACACACATCAAATCACCTTATTTTTAAATAAAGTGTATTTATATACATTACTATTATTGTACCTCAACCTTCATTTGACTATAATTGTTTTTACATCCTTTTATATGAAAATGGAATGCCATTATATAGTTTTACTTTAAATTTATTTTAGGTGGAATGGACGAAACATTTAGAGTACATACAAGATATGCAACAAGAAATAACTTGCCCAGAGAGATACATTTAAGATTTATTTTTAAAAAACTCTAAAAAAATGAAATACTGCAAGCAACAAGAAGTACTAGAATCAAATACAAGTCTAGAGAGATAGTGGTATTGAAGCAAATTCCCAGGAAGGTTAGAGAAATAAGAAAAGAATGCCACTTCCTGACCAAGAGTCTGATTAAGAAAGGGGTGACTTTTAGATGGCTGATTCTAGAAGAAATTTTGGTAAATTGGCAAGAACAAAGGCACAGATTAGATACACTAGAGGAAGCAGAATTATTTTATGAACAACATATAGTAGCACAGGAAGGAATGTTGGTAAGAGAAGAGGGAGGAACTAATTTCCAGGAAATTATGGGGAAAGAACAAGGGAGGACGAAGAAAGAACAGGAAGAGAAAGCGCTAAGAGAAGAGCAAAGGCCAAAGAGACAAAGGAACAGAGGGAGTTGAGAGCGATTAGATCAACTAAACCTATAAACCAATGATATGGAAGAAGAAATAAAAGTAATCTCAATTAATATAAATGCACTAAACACGGCAATAAAAAGAAGAACAACATTCAATAAACTAGAGAAACTGAAATTGGACATTAGATGCTTACAGGAAGTACATATTAGAAAGAAACACAGAAAACTTTTGGAACAGGTAAAACTAGGTAATTTATACACAACTCTGGCTGACCAAAGTAAAAAGGGAATAGCATTATATATTAGAAAGATAATCCAATCAAATATAATTTTTGAAGATGAGGAGGGGAGAATACTGATGGTGGAGATAACAATGAATCTGAGAAAGATATCATTAGTGGCAATATATGCCCCAAATGATAAACAAGAAGAATTTTTTGGGAAACTACATAAAAAGATAATAGAATATGAATACAAAGATATATGTACACTAGGAGACTTTAATGCAATTGTAAATAATGTAATAGACTATATATCTACACAGATGAACAAGAAGCTAAGAAAAACCCTACCCAAAACATGTTTCACAATGACGGAAGAATTAAATTTGCAAGACATTTGGAAAATAAGACACCCGAAAGAAACACAATATACCTTCTACTCAAACATATACTTATCTTGGCCAAGAATAGATATGATGTGGATGTCAACAGAGTTAATACTCAAAACATTCAAAATAGACATAGACATAAGCACATGGGCTGATCATAATCCAATAATAATGACTTGGAAGGGACAGAGGAAAAAACTTTAAACTTAAGAATATTAAATGAAA